ACTGAGATTACAGGCATGTGCCACTGCACCTGGCTGCTTAGCTCTGACAAATTCCCTCTTGGTTTCATCCTCTCCACTCCCATGAGTTTTTGATTTTCATAGTCTGTCCACCATGGTTTGCAACCCTTTGCTAATCTCAATGTAAATCTTTGTTCTAGAGAGCCTGTCTCTGAATTTCTTTCCTTTTTTATTCATGTTGACACCCCCCTTTTATAAACTACATGTGACTACATGATTACATTTGGGAGCCACCTGAATGGTCCATGATATTTTCTCCATCAGAAGATTCTTAATCACAGCTGCAAAGTCTCTTTCGTCATATGAGGGAATTTTCACAGGTTCCAGGGATTAGAACCTAGATGTGTTTGGGGACCTTGTTCTACGGACCAAAGCTATATGAATGGGATGCTATACAAAGGAATGCTTCATGTGCTTGTCACAGTCCCTTATTTAGGTACACCTTCCCACTCCTGTGTACTCTGAAACACTCATTTCCTCCTTGTCCTGTGGGTTTCCACCCACTGCTCAGGGGAATCATGGGGACTGTCTTAGAACGTTGGCATTCTGCTGCTGGGGAAATGAGTTTGGTAAACATCTGTGAACCATGTTGGAACAGACAGGTCCTGTGCCCACAGTGCCCCTGGCCTGCTCCACTGCATGTGCAGACTTCCTGGCTGATTGAGCCCTTTCCTTCCTCTTGTCCTCTCCCCCGATTCCTTCCAGGCTCTTCCTGAAGTTCATGACTTCTCCAAGYGTATTGGAAAGACTCAGTCCAACTGCTCCTCAGCTGCAATCAATTCACCCTGGTGAACTTCATGATCCCTGTTTAAAATGGAAAATTGTGAATAGGGATCACTGAAGTCCTGCTGTGCTACATAACATTTTGTGATTCTGTGATTCCAACTGGTCTAAAGACACCTCCACCCCACTCACTTCTGACTGGTTAACTGTGTTCCTGGTCTTGACCTTGCCAGGGCTTCCAGGGCATTGCCAAATGCGCTTCTGGAAAAGCTCCAGACACCCCTGAGCTCTGGGTGTGTGGAGGTGGACATGGGTAGGCACCACTGACCAGAGATGAGGAAGAGTTGTGAGCACATATGCCAAGGGCTCTTGCCTGTGACAGCAGAGGCCCTTCACATGGCCTTAGATTTGGGCTTTATCACATGCATAGGTTCCCTAGAAGAACTGAGGATTAAATGGTGCCCTGCTAAGCACACCTGAGTGAGCACCCTCATCTGTTGGGGGAGATGGGTGGGTATTTAATTCAGAGGAGAGAAAGGTCTCATGTGGCTTTACCTCCCAAATTTATTTTAAGGCCTCAGGTTACCCTACAATGGGAACTCTCCCATATTATAAAAACACTTGTGTATCTTGTCTTTGTAACTTTGCAAGTGATTTGTAATTTTAAATGATTTTTCAAATTAAATGATAAAATAAGCTCTTACAACACACCAAAGAATACAGACATGGAAGCCAAAGTCAATCACCCTTTCTCTTACCCACTCCAGGAAGTGACTGCAGCAATGTGGTGCCTGTGTCCCCCCCCACACACCCCGACTTTGCCCATGCACACAAAGAAGTGTGCATATACAGCTCTTCACACAACAGGATCATAGTATTAAATTTTACTCTTCTTTTTCATTTAATATTAGGACATAAAATAATCTTGAGACCCCAAAAAGACCCTCAGAGTTCTTTGTGCTTCTGTTTGCTTATTGCACCATAGCAGCAGTGGTGTTAATGGGAGGGAAAGTGTAGTTGGCCTGTGAGCCTGTGTTCATGTGATACTGATCTGAAGTCCATTGTTCCAGGCTCGCCATCATGGATCCTCTGTTGGAAGCCACCGGCACCTTTGCCTTAAACCTTCTAAAAAGGCTGGGTGAAGACAGTTCAAAAAATGTGTTTTACTCACCCATCAGCATCTCCTCGGCCCTGGCCATGGTTCTCTTGGGGGCAAAGGGAACCACTGCACTCCAGATGGCTCAGGTACCTGGTATCCTTTGGGAGTAATAGTAAATGCTGACAGTTGTCAATTGAGCTGATTCTCCACACTTCAAATCCCAAAGGGATTGCTGTGGATGGACATCAGAGGGTATCAGAGGGGTGTGGATAGAGAGTTCACAGGAAGCACCTGCTACCCCTGCTGAGTACCCCTGTGAGCACATTGAAGTCCCTGAACTGTAGCAATTTCCAAATCCAGCCAGGTGTGTGTGCCATGCTCCTGTGCCCTCAGAGTGGGAATATTCCTTGATTGGCTCCACCTGTGTTTCCTGGGACTCATTCCTGGTCCCTCACATGTAAGGCCATGGCACCCCCCTGTGCATTCTGGGCTTAGTGCTTGGCAACTCCCATCCTTTTCCAGAAGAAATGGGTCATGTTTCAAGTGTGTTGCTCTCTTAGCCTTCCTCCTACCAAAA